CATACATGAGGATTTCTGTCGAACATATCGCCTAGCTCATCAGCAGACAGAAATTCAGAGCGCTTCACAACTCGACTTTGTGGATATCACTTCAAAGTCAACCGCAGACACGGCGTCCAGACCACTGTAGCGTTAAAGCATGACAACGAGTAGCGATCCTATGGCGCAACAATCGCGTGCACGTCAGCCTTCGGCCAAATCTCCGGCACAACTGCAAGTGGACTTTGACGGGATATTGCCAAGTCCGAAACGGTCGGAGAGCAAGGGGAAGCTGCCTGGTGTTTCCCAGGCCGTAAAGCGAAGTTTATTGAGCAGGCTCAGCGCGCAATCCAATGACTTCGACAATACAAAGGAATGCAGAGCAGAGGAACTCGCGACTACACCGGCTGCTTCCAGTGCAGCATCCCGTAAGCAAAGAGTGTCCGAACGTGTTCAGTCTACCTCAAGCCAGAAACCCGTCAACCCCGTCAGAGGCCGTAAACGGAACGACAATGGGGAATCTGTGATTAGTCAACCCAAGCAAAAGAAGATGATGAATGCCAAGCGGAAGGCAGTGGCAGATGTCACCGAAGGTCACAAACAAGTCAAAAGACCTTGTGTTCCATCAACCAACAGCATCAAGTCAGATGTAATAGGAACGAACGGAGAGGAGAGAGTGAGGTTGATTGCACAGTCACCCCCATTTATTACGTCTCCCCAGCACCCCCTGATTAGAGGCCTATCAGGATCACACATGCCTACTGACAATTCCAACACTCCTTTCAAAAAGCCCATACTGCCAGCGCGGTCTACTCAGACTCTCAAAACTCCTACCAAGCCGAGGATACAACCCGCCGGGAAAAAGCGGCTATATACACCAAAGGATGCACGAAGGCGGTCTTGGGATGAAGTCTATCACCTGTCGTCTTCACCATCAGTATTTTACGATGCTGACGCCACGGGCGACTGGCTGCAGACTGGTTTCGACCAGGAAATCTTGTCTAGCAATAGCAAACCTGTACCTGCATCTCCGAATGCAGAATCCACAGCAATTTCCGGCCACGCAGACCGTGACGACGTGATTTCTGAAAAACGGACGGGTGATACCCAGACAGAAAAGAGCAACCCCTTCATACAACGCCGGGCGGAGAGGAAGGCCACAACTTTCTTGCGTCGTCTTACTGGGGAAGATCAAGCAAATGAGCAGGTCGATGGCAGCCTTGGTTCGCCACATGGTGTACGAATAACGTTGAATGGCTCTACTGGCTTAGAGGCCAAGGCTCTATCGGAGAAGAGTCGGGCGGTTGCATCACATATGCCATCCCAGAAGCGGAAACCGAACGATCCTCGAGACAGAAGCGATGCGTCTAAGCCATGCCAGATCGAAGGCATCAAAACGTCTACACTACTTCCGGATGGCCAGCTATCAAAGAGGGAACACGGGCTAAATGAATCGCCTAAACATGAGCAGTGCGCCATAACACAGTTAAAACAACTCTGTCCGCGGAAAACCACATCACCCTCGCGACAGGGTTGTAATAACAGAAAAGTTCATCATCGTACTAAGCGTCAATCACATACATCATTAGTAGCAAAAGACATAGCAAAACCAACACCGGAAAATCTCCAAGTCCCAACAAGTACCAAGATACACGACTTCAGACTATCTGATAGTCATAACATCTTCGACAATACGCCTATCAAGCGTACAGCAGAGTTTTTCGGCGGATACGTACAAGACAAACCATACATTGACTGCCACAACGACGATGACGACGCAGTGCTCCCTATGATATATACATCCTCTCCTCCGACATTTCACTCTTCCCCACCTCTACAAACGTCCCTAAGTATACATAGCCCCGCATCCACAGACGCAGAACCCCAACCCGATCTACTAATATCATCCTCTGGTAGTAGTATCGCACCACATAAGGGTAGTCTATACTATTACAATTATACACTCTATATGTTGGAAGGCCTTGTACGATCGTACGGTGAATAACAGTAGCTAAGGTAATCTTGTGTATTGGTATTCTGGTGTATGATGATTCTACGAATGTGGGGGCTACGAAGGTATACATAGCGTTGGGTCCGAGTTGGGCCGAAGTAGGATCGAGGCGGTACATTGGGCCTTATTAGGCGACACACCGTGTGTATGCCGACACTGGCAATCTTTTCTTATTGTAACGACTGATGTAAGGAAAAACGGGTCTTCTAAAAAGGGCACAATGAGAGGGATTCCAAATAGGCATATGTGCCTACTCCGTAGGTCGCTGCACAGATCCCTCTACTCGGATTGACAGCTTGTTGCTTTCGATGAAACGTTCTAACGCGCGATTTGGTGTTGCTTTCGTGAATGCGTCCGCGGGGTTGTCCTCTCCGTTGATCCAGCGGATCTCAGTGATCTCGCGACGCTCGTATGACTGCCGAAGCGCCATGATGTCGATCATCAGTCGCTTCTCAGCAG